ACCATGGTCATCACATATCCCATTACCAAACGCTTTCTCAAAGACCTACAGGCGTTATATCCTGACATTGCTGCCCCACAGGCACTGTGGGACCTATATCTGATACTACCTGTGCTCACAAAACCTCCATTTGAACCTATGGCCACATGTTCCCTTCTCCACTTAACACTCAAAACGGCATTCTTAGTTGCAATAACGTCAGCATGATGGGTGAGAGAGATGGCTGACATAATGGCAGACCCACATTTCACCATCTTTTTAAAGGACAAAGTCTCTCTACGGACACATCTGAAGTTTTTACCTAATGTACGATTCACTTCCACCTTAATTAAACAATACACTTTCCTGTATTTTTTCCCAAGCCTCTTGTCAATTCCTTTGAGGCACAGATGTACACGCTTGATATCCGCAGGGTGCTTTCCTTCTACCTCCATGGAATGAGACCCGTTAGACAGTTCCCAAGACTTTTCGTCTCCATTGCAGTGCTACAGGACTCCTTGTCACTTTTACCTGAGGAAGTCTCCATTTTGGAGCATAGCAAGGGGCATCAGATATCCTCTCAAAGGGATATATGTGCTGCTGCTACATGGACATCCTGTGCTACGATTTGAATCATTTATCACCATCTACCTCCATCTGTGCACACTCCAAAGAGTGGTTGCTCCTTCGGTCGCTTACTTGCTAAGCACTATGCACTTTCTGCCAGCCTTCTTCACTCTACAGGAGTAGCAAAGGCCATACTGAAGACAATTTATCTTCCTGATCCAAAGTCCCTACTTCCATAAGACAAATTGCTTTGCAGTCACCTGCTGTGGAGCACCCCGAGGGCCATATCTCAAAGAAGAGGAGGAGATTACTCACCTTGGCTGTAACTGACATTCTTCGAGATGAGTGACTCTCGGGGTGCTCCACTATCTTCCCTTCCTCCTCTCTACTTTGGATCCCCACCCCAAAAAATCTTTTCAATCAGGCTGGGTTCCAGATAGAGAAGGAACTGAGAGAAGAATGGCCACACTTACATGGTCGCACCGGACGGCATCGTGCACCTCGCGCACCACACATGCGCAGTCTTCAATGCACTGCTAGGAAGAATCCACTGTGTGGCGCTGGGACTCACCAACACCTGCTGTGGAGCACCCCCATGGATACTTATCTCGAAGAACATCAGTTACAGCCAAAGTGAATAACCTCCTCTTCACACATTAGAGAATATTTGCCTTTTATCTCCAAAGGCTAAAGCCCTTACGGATCTCCTAGATGCTCTTTATCTCATTTGAAGAAAGGGGTCCCTGTTTCTACTCAGATTACTGAAGTGGGTTTCAGGGTGAATAAGAAAATGCTATATAATCATGACATTAGACCCCTCTCCCAAGACTATTCTAATACACCTGAATCTCTTTAATTAAACAATTTGTGGAAATAGGGTACACCAGGATTAAAGATTTTGCCAGGCCACAGAGGGTGTTGTGAGGCCTTGGGATGGGGCACTTACCTACTGCCCCACTCCCAGGGGCACACTTGGCTCTGTGCTCCCTGCCACTCCCAGGCATTGCTCCCCATGGCTATGGAAGCGATGGGAAAAGACTCAAGAGAAGCAGTTCTGTCCACTGCCAATCCCCCAGCTGGGGAAAAAGGGGAACAGCAGCATAGAGAGCCACTTCCTCCTCCATACCATGTGTGTTGCTGGATTAGGGAGACACAGAGTACAGAGGTTTAAGTGTAGTTAGTGATGTTTCTAGTTAATATGATTTAGAAGTTTAATTTAAAACTTTCTAGTTGCACTTTAAAGCTATCAACTTTTAAATTCCATCTGCTTTCTCTGATGCTTCATTACTTAGATATCTGCCTTCCATAGAAAAGTTGGAGTGACAATTATAAGTTTAGTATTACTTAACATTTATATTGTAGTAGCACCTAATTTATGCTAGGCACTGTATAAATACAAAATCAATGATAGTCTCTGCCTCAAAGTGTTTGCTGTTTAGGGCCAAATCCTTTAACCTGGAGAATTCAGGACCCATGTAGCATGAAAGTGTGTAAATATATGGAAGAGGGGAAGCAGGAGCAGCTCTGAGATGGGAAATGTTAAGAACCAACCTCCAATTTGGAAGAAGATGACTCTCCTTTTGCTGGCCACAGAAGCACCATTCCAGATGGTGCCAGCAATTGATGCAGAGGAGAGGTTGTTGCCTGATCTAGGTTACTTATGAATTTCCAGTTACCATCTTTAGGGTTAACAGGTCATTTGTCCCAGGATCAGGCAAATTATTCTATGTTTGGGAACCCTAAGATGCATAGTTACAACACTCACACTATAGGAACTCTTGTATATTTTCAAATATAGTTTATTCATACATTTAACAAAGTCACAAACTCCCCAAGTTCATAAGATAAATAGGGAATGTACATTTATATTTCCATACCATATACTCATACCATTCCTTCTAGAACAACCCAGCGTGTTAGCCATCATCTTCCTCATCACCTTTGCCTTCCCTACCATCCGTTGTCATTACTCTGGCATCTCCTAAGGACTACATCTCCTGCTTCTACTGCCCCTAGGTTGAGATTCCACTTTTACATGTTACACAGATGTTGTTATGTTTGATACGTATTCAGTAAGGGAAGTTTCCTTTTCTCCTAATTTGTATTTCCTCATCTTACTGATGGGGAAGTGTTATTTTTTTTTATGGCTCAGTATATCATTGGTTTCATCTTATCTCAACTTATCATATATTCGTTACCATGGCACATCTCGGGGTGCTCCACTATCTTCCCTTCTGTCCTACTCATTATGCATTCTAGTCTGAACCGGTTATTTCAGGTTTTTGTAAGTAATGATGTACCTGCTAAATTTGAGGGTATTCCTGGAAGTCCCTCTATCCTGTTTCTATCCAGGTAAAAGGTCCCAAACATATGCACGTCGTCTTTTCTATCTGGGTGAAAGGTCGCAGCCAAAAATACTAACTTTGCCTTAGCTCAACATTCAGGGCGTGCCTGCAAATCCCCATTGTAGCTTATTATAATAAACATATAATAAAAACCATAAGAAAATAATAAAGCTATATATCTATAGGCAAGCAAGCAGTTTAGCAATATAAGCTACAGGGTCCACAGAGAAGTGAGCATCACAGTTTTTCTCTTTCACAGCAGCATAGGAAGAGCCATCAGAGGTACACGAGCCTGGCATGGTACCAAGCACTATTATGATCCTGCTGGTTTTCCTGTGTCTGCCAGTACCAATAGCATTTGTTGCAGTATTGGCACCACCAGGATGAGGCAACCCCTAGCAGTCCTGAGATAATGTCAGTATGGTGTGGTGCCACAATTGTGGAAGGAATTTTTTCTGACTTTGGACTTGATAGAACTCACCTAGGTGCCAGAATCAATAGTGCCATCGTCTGTGATCTCAAAGCACAGGAGTACTTAATGTTAGCTTGCTCTCTTCTCTTATCCCCATGCCTCACTGACTTCAGTTCTAATGACTTTTCCTGCTGCTTATGCCTCTTGAACACTGGGGATTGTGAATGCTGGTGGGACTCAGATGTGGTAGGAGGTCCACTCCTTTTATTAAATACCCAAGAGTGGAATGCACATGTAAATATATACCCATTATTTAACAATGAAATCCAAACTGTATTTTAACAAAATTTGAAACCATTTTCTCTTCTTTTGTTGTTATTTCTAAGAAATATTCATATTTAATGCTTATATTACATAGAGCACATCTAGACTGCCCATAGCTTTCGAAATAAGATATGCAAATTTGGCACGAATTTGCATATCTTCTTCCAATTCCGTTTTTGGAAGAGTGTTTTTTTTTTTTAAAAAAAATGCAGTCTAGACGTGGTTCTTTCAGAAAAAAAACCCTTTTTTGAAAGAACCCTTCTTCCTAAAAAAAATGAGGTGTATAGGGTTCTTTTGAGAAAGAACTGTGTCTAGACTGCTTTTTTTTTTCTTTCAAAAAAACTCTTCCAAAAATGGGATTGGAAGAAGATATGCAAATTTGTGCCAAATTTGCATATCTTCTTTCGAAAGCTGTGGGCAGTCTAGACGTGCCAATAGTGTTCTGATGCCCCATAGTGCTAGACGATATATAAACACATGAAACCATCTAAGCCTTGAAGATCTAAGGAGACAAGTGATGTATATAGAGTGGTGGGTGAGAGTGTTGCAAGCCCAAATGTACTAAGAATTTTGTTTGCAGATTTCCTCATTTTTCTTTTAGCCTAACCTAATTAACAATATTCCAACTACCATTAACATATTTCAAAAAACCATTGTATTCTAAAACCCAGTTTTCACTCCTGTTGGGGCACTACTGGATCTTAATGTCCACCCTCCTGCCTCTTCCTATCCTAGTTCTGTAGCTCTGCTTCCTCTGGACAGTATCTAATTAACTTAAAAGTAAAAAAGCCTGATAAACCTATTAACAGAACAGTGAACATGTGAAAGAGCCATTCAAGTGCCACTTAACAGGCATTTGCCAACTCCAAGTATTTACTGTCAGATTCTGAATGTACAGTGTTAGTCAGGAACTTCGTTTAAATTTTGCTTTGAAAATTTTTCATTATTGTGTTACTGCAGATCTCTAAAAATCATCATCCCACCCAGGGAGCTATCAGGCATAGGAGCACCATTTTAATAGTATTGTGTATGATCCCATAAATCCTGAGGGCCCTTTGAGTGTCAGAGGGGTAGCCATGTTAGTCTGTACCTAAAAAAAATTTTTTTAAACACGAATTTAAGAAAATGTATTGCAGTTGTAACTAACACAAATGTTTGAAAATGAGTATGTGGTTATATTCCTAAACTATTACCTCTGAGCATTCTTTACTGAAATTATGAGCTATATTCTCACACCATGATTCACACTGAGTAATATGTTAGGGCTCAATTTGCATGTTGTCATTCCAGTGGAGTAATATGGTAGGGCTCAATTTGCATGAGGATGCCATAATGGACTAGAAAGTGTAATTTATTCTCTATTCTTAATTTAGATGATGAGTGGAAGAATTTTTCTCTTTCAAAACTTGATGAATTTAATTCTTCTTATATTGAGAAGACTGTGGTGATTCCTGGCTTTAGCAGCTTCCTGATTGTCAAAATTCTGAACACACTGAGTGCTTTGGCAGATGCTACGATGCCCGAGAGAGTCCCTTTCAACAAAACCTTTCCTTCAGGCACATGGTTTGTGTATGACTTTGGCACTACGAATGGAAGAAAATGGAAGATTATAGTAAACACTTGTAAATACTGGGTACAAGAGCTTGGTAATCAACCACTGAATGCCATTAAGTACCTGGATCTTACCCAAACCTACAATTTTAAATTCAGAGTAACCCCTGTTAATACAGGTGAGACATTTTGAATTTCATTTTTAATTCTTCAACTTTGTCATCTATACACAAAACATAAAATTGCTGTGAATTTTACAAATTGCTGGTTCAGGTGAATTTTACATGATAATGGCCACAGATAATGATACTAATTTCAATTACATGTAAATTTGGAGTAGCTCTAGTGAAGACAATGTCCTATGTTTCAAGCCTCTGCCATTTACTGGAATTAACAACTGAAATTGTGCATGTTTGCTTTCGGACAAAAAGGACATTTTGAACCCTATATTTTCTTCCTCCACACTCCCCTCACATCCAAAGCCGAGAACCTTAGAATGGCCATTGTAATCTTTACAAAATTTTGACAAGTGCTTTTTCTTTGCACTCATAACTGGATTAATTTAAAAATTTCAAGGCATGATCCAGATTTCATTAAATCAATGGGATTCTTTGAGGTATGTTTTTTATTTTGTTGTGGTTGAAGAATAGCCACTTTTAAATCTTTTACTGAGTGTCTAGGAAGATGGAAGTGTTCTCCCACTGGTTTTTGTATGTTACAATTCTTGCTGTCTGATTTGTATTCATTTATAGAGTCTGTGGAGCTACAGTTCATTGCAAACTTGACACTATTAATCTGGGTTTGAATAGGGACTGGGAATGGCTGGCTCACTACAAAAGCAGTTTTCCCTGTTTTAGTATTCACATCTTCTGATTTACTGTTAGGGTGGATGTGGACCACTCCCAACTGAATTGGCCTAGTTAGTACTGTTCATCCAATTGAAGGTAACTCCCTTTTTTCACATGCTAGTATATTTCTGCCTGCCTCTGTAATTTCCACTCCCTGCACCTGATGAAATGGGTCTTTGCTAACAAAAGCTTAAATCATAGAGTCATAGAATACTAGGACTGAAGGGACCTTGAGAGGTCATCGAGTCCAGTCCTCTGCCCTCAGGGCAGGACCAAGTACTGTCTAGACCATCCCTGATAGACATTTATCTAACCTACTCTTAAATATCTCCAATGATGGAGATTCCACAACCACCCTGGGCAATTTATTCCAGTGTTTAACTACCCTGACAGTTAGGAACTTTTTCCTAACGTCCAACCTAAACCTCCCTTGCTGCAGTTTAATCCCATTGCTTCTTGTTCTATCCTCAGAGGCCAAGATGAACAAGTTTTCTCCCTCCTCCTTATGGCACCCTTTTAGATACCTGAAAACTGCTATCATGTCCCCCCTAAATCTTCCCTTTTCCAAACTAAACAAGTCCAATTCTTTCAGCCTTCCTTCATAGGTCATGTTCTCTAGACCTTTAATCATTCTTGTTGCTCTTCTCCAGACCCTCTCCAATTTCTCCACATCTGTCTTGAAATGCGGTGCCCAGAACTGGACACAATACTCCAACTGAGACCTAACCAGCGCAGAGTAGAGCGGAAGAATGACGTCTCATGTCTTGCTCACAATGCACCTGTTAATGAATCCCAGAATCATGTTTGCTTTTTTTGCAACAGCATCACACTGTTGACTCATATTTAGCTTGTGGTCCACTATAACCCCTAAATCCCTTTCTGCCGTACTCCGTCCTGGACAGTCGCTTCCTATTCTGTATGAGTGAAACTGATTGTTCCTTCCTAAGTGGAGCACTTTGCATTTGTCTTTATTAAACTTCATCCTGTTTACCTCAGACCATTTCTCCAATTTGTGCAGATCATTTTGAATTATGACCTTATCCTCCAAAGCAGTTGCAACCCCTCACAGCTGGGTATCATCTGAAAATTTAAGCGTACTTTCAATGCCAATATCTAAATCGTTGATGAAGATATTGAACAGAGGCAGTCCCAAAACAGACCGCTGTGGAACCCCATTTGTTATACCTTTCCAGCAGGATTGAGAACCATTAATAACTACTCTCTGAGTATGGTTATCCAGCAAGTTATGCACCCACCTTATAGTAGCCCCATCTAAGTTGTATTTACCTAGTTTATTGATAAGTATATCATGCAAGACTGTATACCACATCCACAGCTTCTCCCTTAACCACAAGAGTCATTATCCTATCCTATCAAAGAAAGCTATCAGATTTGTTTGACATGATTTGTTCTTTACAAATTCATGCTGACTGTTCCCTATCACCTTACCACCGACAAGTATTTGCAGATGATTTCCTTAATTACTTGCTCCATTATCTTCCCTGGCACAGAAGTTAAACTAACTGGTCTGTAGTATCCTGGGTTGTTCTTGTTTCCCTTTTTATAGATGGGCACTATATTTGCCCTTTTCCAGTCCTCTGGAATCTCTCCTGTCTCCCATGATTTTCCAAAGATGATAGCTAGAGGCTCAGATACCTCCTCTATCAGCTCCTTGAGTATTCTAGGATGCATTTCATGAGGCCCTGGTGACTTGCAGGCATCTAACTTTTCTAAGTGATTTTTAACTTGTTCTTTTTTTATTTTATCTTATAAACCTACTTCCTCCCCACTAGCATTCACTATGTTAGGCATTTCTTCATCAGACTTCTCAGTGAAGACCGAAACAAAGAAGTCATTAAGCATCTCTGCCATTTCCAAGTTTCCTGTTACTGTTTCACCCTCCTCACTGACCAGTGGGCTTACCCTGTCCTTGGTCTTCCTCTTGCTTCTAATGTATTTATAAAAAGTCTTCCCGTTTTCCTTTATTCCTGTAGCTAGTTTAAGCTCATTTTGTGCCTTTGCCTTTCTAATCTTGCCCTTGCATTCCTATGTTGTTTACCTATATTCATCCTTTGTAATTTATTCCTGTAGCTAGTTTAAGCTCATTTTGTGCCTTTGCCTTTCTAATCTTGCCCTTGCATTCCTATGTTGTTTGCCTATATTCATCCTTTGTAATTTGTCCTAGTTTCCATTTTTTATAGGACTCCTTTTTTATGTTTAGATCATGCAAGATCTCGTGGTTAAACCAAGGCGGTCTTTTGCCATATTTTCTATCTTTCTTACGCAGTGGAATAGCTTGCTTTTGGGCCCTTAATAATGTCCCTTTGAAAAACTGCCAACTCTCCTCAGTTGTTTTTCCCCTCCATCTTGATTCCCATGGGACCTTACCAAAATCCACCTTCCTGAAATCAATTGTCTCTATTTTGCTGTTCTCCCTTCTACCCTTCCTTGGAATTGTGAACTCTATGATTTCATGATCACTTTCACCCAAGCTGCCTTCCACTTTCAAATTCTCAACCAGTTCCTCCCTCTTTGTTAAAATCAAATCTAGAACACCTTCCCCCGGTAGCTTTTTCAACCTTCTGAAATAACAAGTTGTCTCCAATGCAGTCCAAGAACTTATTGGATAGTCTGTGCCTTGAGGGTACGAGGCTTCTCCTCCCCTGTTTTAGGGGGTGATTCCTTATCTCCTGTATCAAGAAGAGCATAATGGTTTCCTACTATCACGGTGGGAGGGTTCAGAGCAGGGGTGGAGCATTGCCTGCTGCCAGAAGTAACCAGCTGCCAGTGTCCACCCTGAGCCGTCTCCTCCTCCACCAGTGATGTGTCTGCAGTCTTGTGTACTGGGACAGTTACCTCAGCTGCCTCCACATGAGCACTGTCCAGGACTTGCTCATAGATTCGGATGCTCCTCAACGTAACCACCTCCTCCTGTAGCTCTCCCACCTGCTGCCTGAGAGATTCCACCAGCAGGCACCTTTCACATTGAATGGTCCCCCCAGCCTGGATATCAGTAAGTGGGAATTGCAAGCCACAGTCCCTGAAAAACCACACCAGGATCTGGGTAGAGGCATCCATGCTCAGATGCTCTGTCTGGCTACAGGTACAGGTGGACGAGACAGAAGCACAGGTGTTGCGGGTCTTCCTGACCATTGTAGGCCTCTCACTGTCAGACTCCCTATTAAATTCCCCTGTCTGCAGCCCCCTGTCCATTTTGCTCTCCTGGTCTCTCTGGCTCTGGCTTTTAAAGCTTGCTTGCTTAGGTCAGGCCTGCCCCCTCGTGAGTCACACAGAGGAAGGCTGACCAGAGGCAATCAAGGGAACAAAGGTCAGGCACTCAGTCCCAACTGCCACAACAGCTGAAACTGAAACTGAAGTCACCTGAAATCAGAATCAAAATTAAAATTCAAACAGTCGAGCAAACTCACTCCACCAACAGCTAGTACTCTCACTGTCACCTGGTAGCTTGGCCTTGAAATTCGCATTTACACATCACAAGCTATGAATCGGACAAATCTGGCCTGACTCAATTAGCATCATTAGCACTGGTCCTACAATTTACAGGTAATTGTTTTGCTATTATATATTTTCTGGTTTCTCTAATTTCCACTCCAACTCATCTGCTGAAGTGGGTTTTACCCACAAAAGCTCATAATAAATGTATTAGTCTTTAAGGTGCCACACGACTCCTCCCTTTTCCATTTTTTAATGTAACACTACAGTATGGGTGCTGCTATGTTCATTTTCTTGCAAAGAGGTTTACTTTAACAGAAGCCAGCAAATAAACAGAAAAAACATTTTAACTCAGTCCTTCCTTTCAGGCTGCTGTCTGGCAGGTTCTCAGTTCTGAACAGCCTCTGGGCTAACACTCTCTGAGCACAAACCCCACTTTGTTTTAGAGGATCTACCACAGACGTTAGCCGTATTCCAGTGCTGCTCTCCCTCCCTAGGCATAGCCTGTCTCAATCAATCCCTTCTCTTCCTGCCCACTACTAATCTTTTAGGTAGAGAAGTCACTCAGTCCTCTTCAACTGGCTGCATTGCACACACATGCTTTATCTAAGGGAACGGGGCCTAGTCTATCCACAGTGACCTGGTGATGCTCAGTAAGAACCGAAGAAAATTAACCTTTTGGGAGAGTGTTAGAAAATCAGTGTCGGTACTTACAGACTTGGTCCTGCATACACTTATACACGGTCTCACCAGCCACGCGGTTCTGCACACTGCACATGCGCAGACTGCGCTGCACGGCTGTGCCAGCTTGTAATCTACTTGCCACGTGTGAGTAGATTACACTAATTGTTGAGCCCTGCTTATGCACATGAAGTAGCTTCAGGCTTATGAAGAGTTTCCTTGACTTCAGTGAGTGACCTCACATATATAAAATTACTCACATGTGTAAATGTTTGCAGGATCAAGCCATTAACAAGATAATTATCAGAAGCCCTGGAATAGATCTCTTTCATACCTGCCAATGTAAATGAATAGAGTTGCCCAGATGTATTTGACAGGAGAATTTGACCCTATAGTTGCAATTCAATTCCAGATTCGAAAATTTTAAACACATGGTAGTATGGTTGATGGTGTACAAAATAATAACAAGCATAGTACCTAGGAAAGGATTTCACATCCTAAATTATGGGTACAAAACAGTTCAGACACATCCAGTGAGATTTTCTAAAGCACTCAGAGATAAATACAGATCCTATGTGAAACTTAATGAGAGTTGTGAGGAGTCCTGTGGCACCTTTTAGACTAGCTGAAGTGTTGGAGCATAAGCTTTCGTGGGCAAAGACCCACTTCGTCAGATTAATGAGAGTTGTGCTCCTAAATTCCTTAGGTACTTTTGAAAATCCCATCATAGTGCAAAATATTTCCAAAGGATGGCCAAGTTTCAAAATGATGCAGAGTTCTTCTTCCTCTTTTCACATAGACACACATACTTGCTTTGATGGATTAATGTTAGGAAGCTTTGTGGCAGAATTCTGTTTCAAAGAAATGAATGAAGAATGATCATTTGGAGAATAACAAGCAACATGATATTCTAAGTATGTAAGGTGGTATGGAAAAAGGTGCAAAGGCCAGAGTGAATGAAGAATTCAAAAGCTGCATTGCTGAGGGTAACAAGTGGTGAGAAATAAGAGCTGAGATAAAGGCCAGCATTGAGTTGTGCAGAGCACTGAGAATGAGAGGGAGAAGCTAGATTGTAAGAGGAAGTCTGATTGAAAGACGATGGGTGGGATGTGATTGAGCGGTGAGATGGGAAGATTATTTTAACAGCATTAAAATTTGCACTAATCTGTGTGAGGATACATTACAGGTCAACTAATCTGTTTAATCAAACTAAGAAGTGGCTACTAACGTTCAGAAAGAGGCCATACAGAGGTGGAAGAAGGAAAAAAACTTCTTTCCTGTTCCCTCTATACATAGACTCAAATCTTTTCCCTTTAAGTAGAGAATTAGGTTAACACCTCTGAGTTCAAACTTAATTGTTCCTTGCTTGAGTTTTTCTATACTAAGGAGCACATGCTTCCAAGTAATTATTATCTTCATTTCTGTGCTTAATTTCACAGCCTATCCAGTCTTTCACATGCCACTAATGAAGCTTGTAGTTGGAAATCCATCCCTATTTAAAGTGAAGACAAAAGATTATTGGGATGACACTGATAGTTACACGATGGAATTCTCTGTCACTAACAATTTTTACAAAAAAGTAAGAGCAGACCAGTAGTGAGTAACAAACTGGCTCCTACCTTTTATTTTTTATTTAGCAGAGCTTTGATAAAGGGGGCAAAGCAGATGATTATTTTGTGAGAGAATTCATACTTATTTAGTGACTGGGTCATGTAGAATATCTTTATTAAAGGACTTTGCTATGCAACCATTTTCCCCATCTGATCAGCATTTTGTGAATATCTATTACCTGTTGACTCTATTAAGGTTGCCAATTTTCTGACTGAACAAAACCAGGAACCCTTTTCCTACTCCTTCTCTGAGGTCCCACTTCATCCCCTTCCCTCTAGGGCTCACTTTCCCTGACCCTCACTCAATTTCTCATTTTCACCAAACTAAAGAGGGTCCCATTTCAACCAAATGTTCAATTGAAAACCGGACACCTAGCCACCCTTAAAAAGTTACTCTAGTTTCACCTATGAAATGAGTACAACTCATGTGTGCAAGTTTATGTACATGTGTGTGTGTGTGTGTACATGTAAATACACATACATATATAATAATCCTGAGCTATACTCAGATATATATTTCAAGAGCAGTATCCCTTTTCTCTTGTTTCTGTTTTCCTTTGCATCTCTACTCTCAGTGTTATTTATTGTTCATTTATATTATTCATTATCATTGCAGTTTATTTTCTAACTTCCTCAGAACAGAGACCTTGTTATCCTAGTTGTCTGTATGTGGGTCTATATAAGCATATTGCCTATGAAGTGTAATAAGTTAATGGAGATCAAATGTAGGCTCTGAGATGGATTAGTATTATGTTACTGTTCCATGCCAGAGCACTAAATCTTAAATTCATGATGGGAGAGTCACCCACCAGATTTCACCTTGAAAGTTACTTTTATTTTTTCCTTTTCGTATGTTTGGTGTTGGGGTAAAGGCAATATTTGTCAGGTAATACAGAACAGATCAGGAGAAAAATGACCATTTGGAAAATTTTTCTTTTTATTCTTTCTGTTCATGTTGACACACAGACCTTTCTGCTGTGGGCTTTTTCACAATCATGACAAATGCACATAAAATAATATTAGTATAAGCAGGGCTCAACAAATTATGCAAAACCCTACTTGCCAGACAAAAAAGGGACTCGCCACCTCCACCCTGGCTTGTTTGGGTGTGCCACTGTGGCACCCAAGTTATTTATAAATATATTATAAACCTCTACCTTTTCCCTCCCCTTGCTCCATCAGCTCCCCTGGAGCCTGCTGCCCCCCAATCCCTCACCGTCCTCTGCTGTCCTGACTCCTGCCCTTCTCACTGCCCTCAGCCTTCCTGAGACCTGTCCCCCTCCACCAGCCTTTCTCTCCTATCTCACATAAATTAAATCCTCTGTCCCCACCTACACTAATACCCTCTGCCAGAACCTGCACCCCAATCCTCTGCCACAGGTCAACACCCCCTCCTATCCTAGATCCCAAACCAAACTCCTGCCTCTTTCCTGTATCCCAATCTCCTGCCCTAGGTCACACCTCTCCTGCTATACGTCAGATCTCAAACCCCTGCACCCCAATCCAGTGCCCCAGGTCACAGCCGCCTCCTTTACGCAAAAACCCTCCCAAATCCCACACCCCCGTCTACATCCTTATCCCTTACCCCAAGCTTCCTTCTGCACCCAACCTCCATCCCAGACCCTGCACTTAGCCTTCTCCCAGCACCTCCCCCTCCTCCCTCTAGCCCCCAATGCCCTTCCCCTCTCCTCTCCCAGCATCACCCTGTCCCCCCTCTCACTGACACCTCCCCTCCTGCCCTTTTCCTCATTGTCTTTACTTGGCCCCCTGGGATTTGTCTCTCCTACACCCCTGTCCCTTGGTGCCTTCCCCTTTCTTCTCCTGACCTGCCCCCCTCCCCTCCCATCAGCACAAGCCCCTTGCCCTATTTTCCCCCTTCCATTCCCCTCCCCTACCTGGCTCCTGCCTTCCAGTTTGTGGGGCTGCCGGAGCCTTTTTGAATCTGGCGGTCACCAGCCATGACTACATCAATGACATCTTCATGATATGGACCCACGGGAAAGAAACCCTTGAAGAATTCCACAGGAATTTCAACAACTTCTGCCTCACCATCAAACTCAGTCTGGATCAGTCCACACGAGAAATCCACTTCCTTGATACTACACTACTATTAAATGATGGACAAATTTCCACCACCCTATCCCGGAAACCTACCAACCACTACACTTACCTTCATGCTTCTAGCTTCCATCCCAGACACATTTCCCAATCTATTGTATACAGCCAAGCCCAATGATACAACTGTATTTTCTCCATTCCCACAGACAGAGACAAACAACTACAGGATCTATATAGAGCATTCTTAAAACTAAAATACCTTCCTGGAGAAGTGAAAAAACAGATCAACAGAGCCAAAACAGTACCCAGACATGAACTACTTCAAGACAGGCCCGGAAGAGAAAACAACAGAATTCCACTTGTTATCAACTACAGTCCACAGCTTAAACCCCTCCAACGCATTATCAACAATCTACAACTTATCCTGGAAAATGACCCCTCACTCTGAGAGGCCTTGGGGGAAAAGCCAATTCTCGCTTACAGACAACTCGCTAGCCTCAAACAAATTCTTTCCAGTAACCACGCAACACACCTCCATCATAATCATCCAGGAACTCACCCCTGCAATCAGCCCTGGTGCCAACTCTGCCCACATGTCTATACAAGCGATTTCATCACTGGACCCAATGACATCAGCCACCAAATCAGAGGATATTTTAACTGACATTCACTAATGTGATCTATGTCAGCAATGCCTCACTGCAATGTATATTGGCCAAACTGGACAGTCTCTACGGGAAAGAATTAATGGAAACAAATCAGATATCTGAAAAGGTAATAACCTGTTGGACAACACTTTAATCTTCCTGGACTCTCATTAATGGATCGCCAAGTCGCCGTTTTGTTTCAGACCAATTCCACATGCCAAATACATAGAGAAGGATTGAAACTTAACTTCATTCACAAGTTCAATTCTTATGCTAATGGTCTGAACCAGGATATAGGGTGGCTCGCACACTATCTTCAACTTTTTAATGACTTAACCAACCAAAAAAACTAATGGAGATGGCAATGGTTCTTGACAGCCTCTTGTAACTATTTGAACTATCTATTCACTGTCTCTTTTTTTTCTTCCTCCCCTCCTCTTCTTCCTTCTTCTTCCTTCTTCTTCCCTCTCCCCTCCCTCCTTCCCTTATTTATTCTTGGATCTGGTCTTATTATACTCTGGTAATCTGAAGAAGTGGGTTTTGCCCACGAGAGCTCACGATACCATCTACACGTTTTGTTAGTCTTTAAGGTGCTAGTAGACTGTTGTTTTTTAAGTTTTTCCTGTTACAGGCTAACTTGGCTACTCCTCTGAAGCACATTAATTCTGTTAATCATAACATCCTCTCTTTTATCATGTCATAATTCTTAACTCACCCTCTCATCCAAAATGTCCTAGTTAAAAAAAATGGCCTTTACAGAATGAACAGAAAATTAACAAGCATGGACTGTGATAGATAAAGTGAGAGAGTGAATTCCTGAGTCAAGGATGCTTCACACACACCCCTTCCCGTCTAAAACAAGTGGCTCTAGTATCCCATCACAACCACAGTCCTATTACATGTGGAAAGAGGGAGATGTTGTGATATTTAAGCACATAAAAATACAGGCAGTCCCCGGGTT